GCTTTTCATCACTACTGTCAATATGGATATCCCATTCTCTCATGAGATTTTTATCAAAACGATTCCTGACAAATTGTTCAAAAATCATGTCCAATAATTCTTCTGGTGTAACTTTCATCAAATTGAATGATGCACGATGACTGATGTAAGTATCTAGGACTCTCTTTGCTTCTGATAAGGAACCATCAATAGGATGACAAAACTCTTCGATCGTCAAATCTTCGACATAACGCTTCCCAGGCAGATTTGTAATTGTCTCCTGAGATTTGATAGTTGTTCAATATATTTTGAGATTCTGGCTGAATGTTCACTGATGACTTCAAGTAATGGAATTTGTCAATGTCTGAATACATTGGGTTTGAATGTATCAAGGAGATATAAGTATCTTTTAAAGATATCCAATTGCTAAATTCTCCATTGAATTCTGGAAGTTTTATTTCAGGAAGTTTCACTCTTCTTGTTGATGATTTGACCGCATCTCAATAGTTCAAACTTAACTCATGTCATATCAATAATCACATTTCATTTTTACATTTGATTTAAAACCGACGAGGTTAACATCAAGATAAATTCAGTTTGTTCCGACGTATATCATTAATTAAATAAAGGATTATTATTATTATTGTTGATGATGTCGATAGTTGAATTGCGTTTACTTTGACTTCTTTTTTTTGATCTTTCTTGACTTTGAAAAAATTTTGTTTACATTTTTTTGTTGATAAATGTCATAATTTAGTTTTGTGCATAAATTATTAGTTAAAGAAGATAAAAGTGTATATTGTTCGGTTCCACTTAAGTGCTTCTATACGAGAAATATCAAGTTAAGCCTGGATGTCTTCAGTTTAATTAATTTGAGAGATTGTTTTTGCTAATAGCCTAATAACCTTATTGAAAATATTTTTGCTGAATTTTTGTTCTACAAATCAAGCCAGGATCATCATACACAGCATTTGTATAAACCTGACTCCTGCTAGGCTTTAATTCTAACTTCTTTATGCTTGATTAGCAGCAGTCTCGTGTTTGCACGCATCAAACATAATAAGGAGTCAGTGTTTTATATTATATTACATCGATCATGCCTGCTACGTATCAACACCACCCACAAAAACCACTTTCCAAGAGGGAAAATCCTGACGAAATTAAAGAACAAAAGGAAGTGAGCAACTTTGAGCTGTTTCAACTTATCGAAATGATGAGAGCTGAGAATAAACAAGGGATTGATTGTCTGAATAATGAACTAGGCTCCAAAATAACAGGAATTAGATTATTAATATCCGATATGCAGAAACGAATCGAAGATTTGGAAACTAAAATACAGAAAGCTAATACAAAAGCAGATGAAGCACTTAAGTTGGCTTACCAAAACAAAGCAGCAATAAATATGCTATTCCAAAACAGACTTAGAAATAAATTGGAAATATCAGGCTCGAGCATCGACAGCAATCTCAAAGGCGAGAAACTCACGTTAAAAGTCAAGGAGCTAGTTAATTCTTTCGGTGTTGCACTAAACGATAGAGAAATTACACGCACATTCCAACGCCCTAGAAAGGGTCCAGCTGCACCTGCCGTAGTGATCGAATTCAAAAGCTTTGATACAAAAATGAAGCTTCTTAAAGCAAGGAAAATTGCGAAAAACAGCAAAATATCCCACGTAACCAAAATCACATAGATGGACGATACATGTATTACGCGAAAATATTCCATGTATAGTCCATGCGTATCATCCATGGATTATACATGGAACGATATTGTCCTAAGGAGATGGATGATATAATGTACGATTTTGGGGACGTTCCATGTATAGTACATTGATGTAATACATTTGTGCGATTTTGTGTACTATACATGTTTAGTGCATTAATGTAGTACATTTGTACTATTTTGTGTACTATAAATGGATTGAAACGCCTGAAATAAAAAAAATGCTGGATTTTTATTAATTAATGCAATTATTCATGATTATAGTTTAACTAATTTATGTCGAACTCTTTATTTATTAAAAATCAACATAATTTTAAACTCACAACATTAAAAAAGGCCAATTTACACAGAAAAAACTTATCACTGTAACTCAAAAAAAAAATTAATTTCCTGGAATATCTTTACAAAATTATACCTAAAAATAGACAGAAAAGAAACAAGAAAGAATGATTAATATATTAGATGTCTAAAACATCGTAGACATTTTACACTTTAAAAATTAATATTTTTTTTCTTACCTTATTAATCGATGTTTTACTATTTTCCCTATAATTACTCACCAAACAACATTTCTTGCTCCTTTTAATTATTTAAGTATCTAAATTGTGCGTTTAAATTATATTTTCACTTCACAACAATTTTTAAAACACATTTTTCACATTGTAAACAAATAACTTAAAAAACTAAAATGCAGCAAAAAAGGTTCTTAATTGTCTGAATGGCCAGATTTTTAAAATGCTACATAGATGTATTACTCATGGACTATACATGGATATTTCATGTATGTAATACATAAATGATACATAGTGTACTGTTTTAGGGAAAGTACATAAATATTCCATCTATGTCAATGGAAAATGTGTGGAATACTTTGGTTACGTGGGATATTTTGATAATAGTCTTACTCCGTTGAATCGCTTTTTGATGTTTAAAGCGAGAGAAGTTGCAAAGGATAAAAACTTTAGTGTCTTCCTGAGTGGTGACAAAGTTCATGTCAAAAAGGATTATGCAACAAAACTAGCAATAAACGACATCAGCGACATTTTTCTAAAAGTTTTAAAATAACGTCGATTTTTTTTTTTTTTTAAAACTTTTGTCTAAACCGTTATTCTGTTTTTTTTTGATTGAACTTAGCGCATTCAAAAATCAATTTATCATTTATCTATTAGTTTCTATTTTCTATTCTTATTATGACATTCTTCGAAAGAGATCTTCAAGGAAGCTTACGTTTCATTGATCTCTTTTGCTTCAATTTTAATTTAATGTTTATCTAAAAAAAAAAAAAAAAAAACTTCTAGAGTTTCTATCTTTACTGCTAACTCAAATGTTGTAATAACTGCAAGTTTCTTGAACAAAGTAAACTTCTGAGTTTCAACATCATTTTCTCGTTTTCGATGTAACAGTTCAAATTCAATGAACACTTCGTTGAATTCATCTAACATGTCTTTGAACACATCATGATACACTCTTGCTTCTTCAAAATTTGTTTCTTCCTTTAACATGTCATAAGTGCTTTTTATGCTTTCAAAATCTTCGATTATTGAATTCAGCTTTGCTTTCTTTCCTTCATATGCATTCATTATTGCTTATTCTTGTTGAACTTTGCTTCAACAAATCTGCCAACTTCAACTTGAACTTTCTTCAAAATTCTTCTTCAAATTTTCCAATTTCTTTCAATATTCAATTTCTAAGTCTACTCCACGTCTTGTTTCACTGTTTCAATCTCAAGGTTCGAAGGACCAATAAAAAATGATGTTTTAAGGTTTTAGAATGAGTGGACTGTATTTCAATGACTATTTCAAACAGTGGTACAATTGCAACTAAAATCAAACTAATTTTACAATATTTTCAAAGATATCTGCGATCATTTCTTTCTTAATAATAAAATGTTGATTCAGCATGCAACATTTCATATTTATACATATTATTGGCAAAATAAGTCAGTTTAAAATATTTTTGTTTGATAAATTTTGGTTTTTGGCTATTTTGTTGAAGTTTAGCTTGCGTCGGTCACATTCAATTTACTCCAGAAGCAGCTATAATGAACTTTCATACAAGGATTATACATCATTTTAAAGGTATTGGTAAACTAGCAATAACCGAAAACTGAATGCAAAAATATGTATCCTGAAAAAAGTTAGAGCTCTTTATGTCCATCAAAAAGCCTACAAAAGCAAATTTACAAAAATTGAAAATTCGATGACTACTATTAGAGCAAATTGTTAGAAAAAGGTTTAATATATTAAAGGAAATAATAATAGTCTATTTTTATTTATGTCCTCTACAAGAAAAAATCCACTTGAGAACGAAATTCGAAACATTGCCCTTTTTGAAGTGAAATTCCCTTTTTTTTCAATTTTGCCCCATAGCGTAGTGTATCATTTAAAAAATTAATAATATAACAAATTGAATGTCTTCTCTCCACAAGAACTTATAACACGCATTAACGCATAACATCCATTAATATTTGTCTAAAGTGGTAAATTTCTGCTTTCAAAATCAAAATCAACATTGTGTAATATACCAAAGGTGACAAAAATCGATTCAAAGATGAATATTTTGGAAAAATCAATCCGTGGAATTGCCAACCACTGAGATTTTTAAAAAATTAATATTTGGTATGTATTAGTCGGATAGTTTTAGTGAAAAATTCATATGATTTTTTTTCCTTTGAGCAAAAATCCTAAAAAATAGTCAAGGCCCTTATATAATTTTATTCATCAAAAACATGCTTCCAGTTAATGGTTTTTTTATATTTGAAAACGATATAAAGAAAAACGAAAATTCGATAAAAATTAAGTTTTGAATTTTTGAAAATCGTTATTTTGATAGGTACTTATAGATAAGCAATAAAAATGATTAGAATTGTTTTGTATAACTATTGTATCAATAAATTTACAAAATCAATCTATTAAAAATAATGTTTTCATACAATCATACATGTATTTTTTGAATCTTAGCGAAAATAAGATTTCCGAGATGACTAAAAAAAACCTTCATTTCAGTATGTTTGAGTTACACAGAATGAAGTATACACGTTCCATAATTTTTCATTGTTGTATGAGCTCCTTGATAAACAAGTTTGATACAGCAGAACTAGGTAAAAATATTTAAAAGACATCGTTAACTTAAATTTATTTAATATTAAATTGTATTAATATAAATTTGAATAACTTTATAATTTTTCTATTTAGAAACATACTTTTGTAATTGTTAAAACCGTCATTGAAATATAAAAGCTCAAATTAAATTAAAAGGTCAAAAGTTAAGTGAAACGTAAAAAATATTTCTTATCAATTATGTCAGCAAAAAACAAACTACATTCATCTCAGTTTCACCCAATTTTAAGAAAAATAAATGAGCAGAATGTTGACATCTCATTCCATAATATAATGTATCCAGTTTTTATTGTGTGCGTAAAATTAAATTTTACATGATTTAATTATTAATAGTTAATCATTAGCTTTTGTTGCCTTTTAGTGAGGACGATAACCAACAGCAAGTGATTCCATCAATGCCGAGTGTTTATCGTTTTGGACTGAATAAACTAATTGATCATTTAACTCCTCTTGTTGAAATAGGATTGAAATCTATTTTGATGTTTGGTGTTATTGATATTTTGCCAAAAGATGAAATCGGAACTAATGCTGACTCAAACAAAAATCCCGTGATTCGGGCACTTCCAATCCTACGTCAAAAATTTCCAGATTTACTGATTGCATGCGACGTTTGTTTATGTCCATATACTTCTCATGGCCATTGTGGGATCATTGAGGAGGATGGCATTAATAATGAAAAAAGCATTGAAAGGATTGCAAATATTGCTCTAGAATATGTCCGTCATGGAGCACATATCGTTGCACCAAGTGATATGATGGATAACCGAATTTTTGCAATTAAAAATAAATTGATACAAAACGGAATGGAAAAACGTTGTTCAGTGTTATCATATTCAGTGAAATTTGCTTCAGGATTTTATGGACCATTTAGAGATGCTGCAAAGTCTACACCACAACAAGGCGATCGAAAAGGTAACTACTGGAATTATTTTTTGTAATATACTTATATAAAAATAAATCACATTTAGGATATCAATTGCCTCCTGGAAGTCGTGGTTTAGCAATTCGCGCAGCAAGAAGAGATGTTGATGAAGGTGCTGATATGCTAATGGTTAAGCCCGGTATAGCTTATTTGGATATTGTACGTGATGTCAAAAATGAATTTCCGGAATATCCAATGTTTATTTATCAAGTTTCCGGTGAATATGCGATGATCCTGCATGGTGCCAAAGCAGGTGCATTTGATATAAAAAATATTCTGTCTGAAACTCTTATTTCTATGAGACGAGCTGGTGTTGACTGCATCATTACATACTTTGCGCCAACCATTCTTGAATGGATGAAGGATGGTCACTTATAAACTATTATGTAAAATACATAGAGTTTCTATTTTATTAATAAATTTTAGATCATTTAACGGTACAAATTAAATAATAATTTTTATTATTAAATATTCAATTTTATAGGTTTAATAATTTATTTCACATTCACTATTTTATTGAAAATCAAAGCGTGGCGCAGTATTATTAAGCAGGTAAGATAGAATTAATTACAACATCAATATATAAGTCTTTGGGAATTATCATAATGTGAAAAGATACTTTTTAATTAATCATTAATAAAACGTTTGTCACTGATGAGTTTGATTTGACTAAACGACAATTCTATGGGTAAATGGAACTAAACAAAAGCCGTTGTAATGAGCAACTACCTAATGTTGATGCTTACTCTATATTATAAAAATTAATTTAAGTATAAAAAAGCAGAAATGCTAATATATTATAATGAATCAACTGAATAAAAAAAAAAAAAAACATATTCCCCGATACATATTTCACAATATTCTGAATAGCACTTTTATCCGTTAAAAAAGCTTAAAATTTTAATTTTCGATTCGATTCAAAACTATGTTTACAAAATTTAAGCTTTGGAAAACTTTATTTTTAATAAATTAATTTAAGTCTTTTGACTAGGTTTTACTTGTTCTACTTCAAATCTTCTTATAGTTTTCGATCTTAGCTTTGTATATTAGACTAGAAACGTGAAGTTAGTCGAGCCAAATTCTAAAAAACAATTTTATTAAGGCCAATTCTATGGATGACTTTTGGAAAATTTTCAGCAAAAAATCGAAATTTTATTGATTTTTCCCATCAGAGACACTGATTTTATGATTCTTATCGGTGTAAAAATCTAAAATATACACTACTTTTGATATCATATACTTCTAATCGCCGTATTAATTAAGTTATTTGGATTCTTTAGTCAATAACTCGATGACAGAAATCGGAATTATCAATTTTCATCATCCAAAGAATCGAAAATTAGAGAAAACTATTGATATCCACATTGAATAACTTTTACTGAGTTATAGAACAGACAAAAATCTTTAATGAGGTTGCTTTTTTGTGTGCTTTAAGTCATTAATTAATGAAATATTTTAATTCTTTGAAAAATTTCCTTGTGTCATCGAGTTATAAAAAAAGCTTTTTTTTGTCTTAATCCGTGAAAAAATACAAAATTTTCAAACATATTTTTTCAATTTTTCACTTAATTTGGGTGAGTTGTAACATTTCAATAGATCAATTGTAAAGAATTAATTATGATTTATGATCAACGAAAGTTTTGGCTTATTATTCCTTCACAGTTGTATGAAATTAAAGAAAACATTTTATTGACACAAAACTCATTGACATTGGATTATGAAAGCTCATTTTTTTTTCAAATTCCACTCATCCAAAGAATTGCCCTTAAACATGTTGTATATCGAAATTGAAGTTCTTTTTACGACACTTTTCGACACGCAAACCGTTTTTAAATCTGATCATTTTTTGCTGAGATATGGTCAATCAAAGTTTTGCCTGCTGTTTCCGTGGACCAAAAAAATCAAATTTTACTAAAATTGTCAAATTGTTTTTCAGAATTTGGCCCGACTAGAAACATGAAGTTGGTCGGGCTTTTTGCCTAAGATTGAAACTCCGATATCTCGAAAACTAAGGGTTGTCGAAAAAAAGTAATTAGATGTCGAAAAGAGTTGCAAAAGTGTCTTTGAACTGGCAAAATTTCAGCTCGAAATTCGAAGTTGGCCCGACACACTTCCAACAGGCCATTAACATGACATCATACATGATGTCTCCCGACGTTAACAGAAATTTCTTCATTTTGCTAGGAGTTTTATGAAAAATAAAAATTCACCCCCCCCCCCCCCTCCTTCTGAATTTTCCATATAAATTTTTTTTTGATTTTTATGTGAAGCTATCCATACTTTGCACTAAGTCTGGCTCCGATAATCCTGTCGGATATTAGTTTCCACTGCAAAAGTTACTCTCGAATTGACTTACTTAACAGGATGCCAACACCTCTATTATATTGTTTTTATTATTATTTATTTGTCGACGTTACCGTCCGGAAGAATTGGTATTTATACATGTTCTACTTTTTACATTGATTAGTGATACATTTCATATCACTATGGGTGACGTAGAATCAAGCTTCTAATCTTCAAATCTAGGTTCGATTAAATTCAGGCTCTCGTTTCAATCTTCTGTGGGCGTGACGTGATACATTTCAGGTCCGTTCTGACAATATTCCATTATAAGGTAATCTTGTAGCTCTCGTTCCTATTTATCCCGCTACACTTCAAGTTCCTGATCCGTTCCTTAATCCAAAGTTGCCCAAAACGCCCAATTATGGCTTGATTTCGTACATTAAGCAGTCGAAGTATCTAAACTTCTGAAAAAGAATAAATTTGGAAATGGCTGGATTCGAACCGACGATCTTCGAGTTACCATACCAACTTTTTGTAAGAGTGAAAGCAAACATAATAATAAATAATAATAATAATAATAACAACTTTGAGCCAAGCGCCTTACCTATTCGACCAGCAAGGCACTTAACTGCTCATGACCTGAGCACAGTAAAATCGTGTCGCATGGTGATTTAATTTATCTACTCTTACATATGTATCATCCATGGAAGATTCTCATGGAATACATTGATCTACCTTTTGGTTACTAGGGATATACCTTCAAACTTATGCTGTGCGAAGCCCGGCTGACTCATTAAGCTTTATACTTTCAAACTTATGCTGAGCAAAGCTCAGCTGACTCATCAAGCTTTATACCTTCAAACTTATGCTGAGCAAATCTTGGTCTATCCATAAGACTTTTGATGGTACGTTGTGAATATATCTGCATTGGTTTTCTACCCGATAGACTCAGATAGACTAGTTTTTTGCATATTTTTGCTCTTAATAGATGTAATTCTACACAGGGGCGTAGCCAGGGGGGGGGCCATAGGGGGCCCGGGCCCCCCCTATGAAAATCTGATAATTGTTTTATTAAGTATTTATAGAGAAGAACCAGTTAATGTAGAGGAAGTGATGAAAGAAATTTCAAAATCAACGAAAAATTAAACTTAATGTATGAATAATGAATTAAATATTTAAACTTATGAAGAATGAATATAGATTTAAGGATACAAAATAACGGTTTTTTTTAATTTTCGAAAATGGGCCCCCCCCTTAAAAATTTTCTGGCTACGCCCCTGATTCTACAGTACATGTAAAAAGTCATAAGGTCTATGATTTGACATTAGTATTAATATTGATTAAGTAACGCTACAAAATATAATTTTTAGGACTTATTAATCACTTTAGATGACATTGTAATGTCAAAAAGCATACCTTATGGCTTTTTACACGTCCTGTGGAAATTATGTTTACTTTTTTTAAAGCCTAAGTATGAATAAAATCAATTTGAAGAAAATTTTATAGCAAAACAGGGCAACATTTTAGCATGGAATTACAAATGTAATTTAATTTGACTTACACTTTATAAAAACCAGATTAAAAACATTTATTTTGACTACATCTTTATAATAAACATTCTAATCAAATAATTATTGTTAATTAAAGTAAAATTTGATAATTTTGAAATCATTTTTTTATGGAATAAGAAAATAAACGCTTTTGCGTTGCACTTGTACAGAAATTTAATTAAAATTCATCATTTTTCTGCTTAATAAGTGCTTCATAAGGTAAATTAGGTATTTAAATTCATAAAACAACATGTAACGGACTGTGAATAAATGAAAGAATACATGTAGGTCAACTTCATGGCAAATTTAATTGGTATTCATTTTTTGTTATAGACCTTACTGGTCGTTCGATAATAAGGATACAAAATTACAAGAATTGAAATTAAAATATAACACGCTATTGCGCAACAAAACCGTTATTAAAATATTTGAAAAATTTCCAAAAGCCGTTAAATGAAAAATTTGAATTTTTACAAGATTAAGGAGTGTCTAGTAAAAACCTGAAAAAACTGAATTTTAAAAATTCGAAACCTCATTTTATCGAAACATCATTTTTCGACTTTTTTTTTCTTTTCATAATTTTCAAAAACCGTTAGCTGTAAATTATTTTTTATCGTACAATTTTCAAATTTTAAAGAACCGGCTAATCGAGCACCTAAGAATGAAATAGTAGAATAAATGTAGTTTAATGTTTGGTTTAATGTTGGTTCCCTGTTTGGCTCAAAAAGCTGAAAAAGCTTTAAAATATATAGTACAAATTTCTATTTCACTCAAAATGTCAGGAACACTCATAGAAAAAAATCAAATATTCGTCTATTTAAATTTTATTTTTATAAAATCAAATATTGAATATTAGAAGTTGAATAATATAATATTTGAAAATCAAGAAAAAATAAATTCCAAAATTTATTTTTTAAATTTAAATATTTGAATATTAGATTTTACATTTTTACAAAAAATATTGTAAGTTTTGTAAAAACTATCAAAAATTCAAATTTTTAGATCATTTTCTGTGCAAGAATGAAAAATCTTCATTAAAATAAAGTCATAAAAAGTGCATTTCTATTGATAATAAAGTGATTTCTGATAATGGTTTCGACAAGTTTGAAGGATTTAAAACGAAGAAAAAGCATTGATGTCGATGCTGAAACAGGAGAAATATTTCATAAGGATCAGAAAATTTCAGCAACATTATAAAACGCACATTGATTATTTTGGTAAGTGTTTAAATCATTCATTTAATCTATTTCACTTATTAATCTTAAAATTATCATTTCAGTCTGCGGTAAATAAGGACTTGATGTACAACAACTTATAGGTAAAACAAATTAAAAAAATATTTTCATAAAATGTCAAATTATTATTTATTTTTTTATTTTTCTTGAATATTTACAGAAAGAGATTATCATCAATGCTTCAAGGAACAAATTCGCATCTAGTTAAGTTGAACAAAATGAAAGAGCTTAGGAAATGAAGACATTTTTATATGAAAAAAATCACATGTTCAGCATGAGAAAAATTGAAGAGAATCGATGTTTCATTGCA